TGCAGGCGGGGTGCAGGGAGGCCCCCCATACTCACAGGGACCCAGGGTAAGGGCGTGCGGGTGGGGTGCAGGGAGGGCCCTGTACTCACAGGGACCCGGGGTAAGGGTGTGCGGACGGGGTGCAGGGAGGCTCCCATACTCACAGGGACCCGGGGCAAGGGCGTGGGGGGTGCAGGGAGGGGCCCCGTACACGCAGGGACCCCGGGCAAGGGCGTGCGGGGTGCAGGGAGGGCCCCCCGTACTCACAGGGACCCGGGGTAAGGGCGTGCGGGCGGGTTGCAGGGAGGGCCCCATACTCACAGGCCACATAGGACACCTCTACCTCCAGGCTCTCGATGTCAGCCACGTTCACATAGAAGAAAGGCTTGGACTCGGGAATGGTGCCCCCAATGCCAGGCAGGGAGACGTTGGCCAGGCAGCAGCAGCAGTACACTGTGGGACAGGAGAGGGAGAGGGGAGGGTGGCCCTCCTCCCCCCAAGCCCGCGGCCGCGGCCTCTGAGCAGTCAGCCCCTGAGGTCGCTGTGGAGGGCTCTGCTCTGTGCTGTCCTGGCACCTGAGTCACACGGGGCTCCGGCATGCTGAGGGGTGGGCGGGGCCACAAGCCTTTCGGGCCCCACGGTGGATCCTGAACTCAAGTCACGCCAACAACGCCTGACCCCTTCCAGCTTCCAGTCTGCCGCTCACAGCCCCCGCTTGGGATCTGGCACTGTTGACCTTGCCCTCTCTCCAAACTCCTGCCTGTGGGAACCCCCGTTTCTCCCGGCTCCCTCCCTGCTTCCCACGGCCCCACCTCAGTCTCCCGTCCTCCACCTTTACTGCTTCACCTCCTGTGCCCGCATCACCTCCCCCACTCGCACTCTCCCCGAGTGACGCCGTCCGACCCGTGGCCACCGGCACTTGACTCGCCAGCCTCACTGTCCCCCAGCGCCTGGTGTCCACCTCACGGAGGCCTCACGGACAGCAGACACGCACCGTATCCAAAGCCACCGCTATCACTCCACCCCATACTCCTCCCGGACCCTCAGCTGGTGGCCCCACATCTTTGTCATCATGGACCCTTCCTCCATCACCTCACACACATCAGAACCTTCCAACCTAATCACACCAACTTCTGCCAAGTTGTCCTCTTTAATGTGCGAGAATCCCCATCTCCTCTCACCACCTATGTCCCTCACTAGACCACGGAGGCGCCCCCCAAACCACCTTCTGCACGGCCGCCAGAGCCCACATTCTAGAACGCAAGTCCAGCCCTGGCATTCCCAGGCTGAAAACCTGGCGCCCTCTTGGGACAGCCGTGACTCTTCTGAACTTGGCCAACAAGGCAAAGACCTGAGCAGTTTCTGCTCTGAGAAACTCAAGAAAGAACACACAACTCTGGCTTCTAGTTACCTCTATAACATACAACACCCACAGGAGGCGGAGAAAATATCAAAATGCGCTTTCGAAGTAAGGCAAATTTCCAAAGGATAAGGATCTGTTCTCCAAAGAACTTGATAAACTGAGACATGCAGCCGGCTGGGTGAGTGATCTGAAAAAATAAAGGGGAGGAGAAGGAATGGCTTGTTAAAAATGTGAAAAATATTCAGTGCAGGCATGTGCTGACCACCCCCCACTCTGCCCTTGCTCCCTGCATCCCCCCCCCAGCACCACAGACCACAAAGGACAACCAACAGATGCATTAAGGGATGGTTACTTCCACACAAAATGGTGTTTTTCACTTTAAAGTCTCACCTTGACGCTGAGTTTCGATACTGCAACAGCTCCCCTGATACAATGAGAGCTGAATTTAGGGACCCTTAAGTACTCAGGAGAGGGAGGCACAGAGGAAACAAGGCTGAACCTAACTTTTGAAGAGTCAGAGACGCCTCTGAAGTGACAGTACACCTCATGAGAACACCCAACTCAAAAACGTGACTGAGCCCTGGAAGGAGAACAGTGACGAGGTAGCAGTCTCATATCAGCTCCCCCGAGTACTCGGGGACCCGAGGGGTCTCCACAGGTTACGGGTAGGAGGACCCCACGGCCCCCCTGGCCCGACAACCACTGCACGTCGGGCCCCGCCTCTTCCTTCTCGCTAAGTGCAAGAAGCCGGTGGGCCCGTGCAGGCTGCTTCTAGGAGGCTGAGCCAGGAATGCCCCAGGGGCTCTGACCCCAGGAAAGCTGAATTCCAATGCCGGCTCTGCCATAGCCAACCTTTCTGGATCGCTTTCCTTATCTGTGAAACCAGGAGACCATCCCATTCCGCACATGGCTCTCCAGGATCATCTGAGAGAGAAAACATGAAATGCGCAGGAGCTGATGTAAGGATGCCCAGCGTCACAAGTGTCAGAAGCAATACCACTCACCACCCACTGGGGGGCGCCGGCGAGAGCACTTCTGACAAGTGGTACCCACACCAAGGAGGAGTAGACCTTGAGACATGCTGACACCGGAGCCTCCCTTTCCCGGGCAGCAGCGGCCCCCAGTACCACTGCCTTTCACTTGCCCCAAGTGGGCAGAAAAGCTGCCCTCCGCTGAGGCTGTCCTGCCCCTGTGCCTACCCCTGTCCCAGACCTCCAGGGGGAGAGGCGCTGAGCCATCACGTCTGGCCAGGTCCCTCCAATCACAATATTTCACAAAAGTCCAAAGGTAACGACCCGGCAATTGCACTACTAGGTATTTATCCAAAGGATCCCAAAATGCTCATTCAAAGGGGCACATGTACCCCAATGTTTATAGCAGCACGATCAACAATAGCTAAACTATGGAAAGAGCCCAAATGTCCATCCACTGATGAAAGGATAAAGATGTGTATGTATGTATGCATATATATCCTATATCTATACACACACACACACACACACACAAATGGAATACTACTCCACAATCAAAAAGAATGAAATCTTGCCATTTACAACAATATGGATGGGCCTAGAGTGTATTATGCTAAGTGAAATAAGTCAGACAAAGACAGATACCGTATGCTTTCACTCGTACATGGAATTTAAGAAACAAAGCAAATGAACATAGGGGAAGGGAAGCAAAAATAAGACAACAGAGAGGGAGGCAAACCATAAGAGACCCTTAAATACAGAGAACGAACAGGGTGGCTGGAGGAGAGGTGAATAGGGGGGATGGACTAGATAGGGGAGGGGCATTAAGGAGGGCACTTGATCTGATGAGCACTGGGTATTATATGCAAGTGATGAATCACTGAGTTCTAGTCCTGAAGCCAATACTACACTGTATGTTAACTAACTTGAATTTAAATAAGAAACAAACAAAGGCAACTTATACAGGAAGGGGAGCCTAGGGCTTTTCAGGTCCCTCCTAGCCTCCCCTCTGGTGATCCTCAAGCTTCAAGTGCCTTCTTTTACAGCAGGGAGACCTGCCAGTGTTTTGTCCAAATGTGTCCTGGGCCCCAGGCTCCCAGAGTAAATGACCAATCCTTAATTCTGATCTTATTTATTCAACCATTCATGAACGCACGGACAGGCACACACAAGAAATAGTTCTCACATACTTTGCACCAATCACTGTGCTAAGCAGTCTCAGTCCAACAATGAACAGAAGGCCCAGCCCCCGCCCCCAGATGTAGAAACTAGTGGGAGAAGCAGGTGCCCACGCGATCAACTCATGCGATCAAATCCCAGCCTGAGAGCTGTGATGGGGGGGGGGGGGGCAGGGGCTGTGGGGGCACACAGGAGATGCCCGACGGATTCTCAGAGAGACAGGGAAGACTTCCTGGAGGCAGCGTGTCTCATCTTTGACACGAAGGATAACTGAAGGGACTGTGTTACCGGTAGAGGGACCAGTGCGTGCACAGGCCCGGAGATAGCAGACGACGGCCAGCAGCTGAGGCGCTGGGCCTGGGCTGTGCCAGGGCGATGCGGGAAGTGGCCACGATGAGGAAGAGCCGTGCCGCCCTCTTCTAGAGGCCGCGGCAGAAAATGCACGCACCTCTCGACCTGACCCTGTCCGACCACCCAACACAACAGACGTTTCTGCTTTCATCTGAATCCACTGCCCCCTTCTGGGCCTTGTTCTGCTGCAGCTTTTCCAGGGAACTCTTTCCCTGAGCCGTGCAGCCCCTGCCTTCATGGTCTCCCTCCAAGCCTCCGCAGCAGGCACTGCAGACTCTGCACTCCCCAGCCGTGGCTGGCTCCCCTGTCCCTCGCCTCCCCATCCCCCCTGCCCAGGGACTCCGTCCGCTCCTGGGGTCAGTCCCTTCTCTCTCTCCCACCTGCCCCCTCCCAAGGAGGGGCCTCTACCAGCATCCGAGAGGCCCCGGGCCTGCCTGCCTTCCTTGGCAGTTAGTTTTGACTCTGACCCTGACTTTAAATTTTCTTGGAGGGAGGCAAGATGGCGGAGAAGCGGGGAGCTCCGTACATTTCACTCGCCCCCGTATCTCACAGGAGAAGGCCTGAAGCCACAGGAGCCCTTACAGAACCCTGGAGTTTAGGAGGAAAAGGAGACAGAGTCCGGCTGAGAAAACCTTATAGCGTGAGTGCGAACTGGGGAAGATAAAATCGGGCTGGGACCGGAGTCACAGAGGGAGGGGAGGGAGCCCCCTTCACCAGCAGCCACTGTGAGTCTAGGGGAGAAGAAAGGGCGGCTGAAACTGCTCAAGACACTGTCTGTGTCACTGGAGAAGGGGAAAACCTCAGCTGGGACACAGAGGGACCCAGTTTCCTGCTGTCCAGCTGACCCTGAGCAGGACGCGCTGGACCCAGGCGTCCCCTGGAGAAACTGCTGCTTGCTCGCCAGCTCGACCTGGAGGGGACACGGCGGCGCCTGAGGCCGTGCTGCTGTGCTTCTGGCTTCCCAGTGGGGAGGGGAAGAGGCTTGAAATGGCTCGGAGGGACTCGGCCTGCGGGTTTATATTTCGGGTGATATCAATGGGGTGCACAGACTAAGATCTGGAAATGAGGCGGGGCTTGGGACACAGAGCACTGCCCACCTTGGCTACGCCGCGCATAGGGATATCTGACCCAAAAGAGTTGAGTTGCAACACTTGGTTCTAGAAGGGACTGGGGCACCGCCATTTTTCTCCGCACAACCACCAAGGCAGGACCTCAGGGAGCGGCTCCCCAGTCGCACTGGAGGCTAAGACCTGCCTACACCAAACCATGCCCATCCCCGCTAGAGACCTGCCTTTTTTTTTTTTTTTTAAACCGGGGCGAGACCAACATGGATTCACTGCCCTGATTAATTCTAGATCAATTCTTTCTATTCAGATATATTTTTTCCCTTGACTCATTCATCTCCCTCCCCTCTGCCGGACTGGGCACTCTGGTCACTGGTTTGCTTAAACAGTCACATTTAATCCTTTCTCTAGATGTATATTCTACACCTCCACTGCTTTTTCTCTCTCTCTCTGGAGCAATCAGACTATATAGTTTCTCTGAGTCACATTCTCTTCACTTCTTTCTCCTCGCCTCTAACCATATTCTCCTCTTTCTCTCTCTGAATTAAGCCTCTTAGTCTCCTGCCTGGTCATTTCATTTCCAATATCACTTCCTCCTCACCCTGTCATTTCTTTGTATATGTTCTTCCGTCAGCACTGCATACACCCGATTTTTATTTGTAGCTGGGAATTCTGGTTTTATGCTTTTAGACTGTCCTTTTCTTTTGGGTTTTTTCTTTTCCTCTTTCTTTTTTATTTATTTTTGTTTTTATTATTTGTCTTCCCTCCTTCCTCTTTTTGTCCCTTCCTTTTTTCTTTTTCCATCTCGGTTTGCATGTTTGTTGGATTTGTCTGTGCATTTGTGTGCTTTTGTACCCTGCGTGTCTGTCTGTTTTCCAGGGCTACCTCAAGAAACAAGCCAAAGTACATACGGTGGAGAGTCCCAAATACCACTATAAGTAGGGAAATAAAATAACCAACGCCTCAACAAGAGAGACCAAGATACACCATCCAAAGAACACTTCCTGAACGGACAGGCCCTAAAGAGTCAAAGAACCTTCTGTAATACAGCAATACTCGGAGGTGCAGAGTGCATAACAAGCTTTTAAAACTAACAAGAGATAGAAAGCTAACCAAAATGACGAAACAAAAGAGCTCTCCTCTAAAGGAATTCCAGGAAGAAATGATAGCTAAAGAACTGCTCAAAACAGATATAAGCAACATAACTGAACAAGAATTTAGAACAATAGTCATAAAATTAATCCCTGCGCTTGAAAAAGGCGTGGAAGATATCAGAGAAACTATTGCTACAAAGACTACGTAGCTTAAAAATAGTTGTGATGAATTTAAAAATGGTATAAATGAGATGCATAATAAAATGGAGGCAACCAATGCACAGATTGAAGAGGCAGAAAGGATAATAGGTGAATTAGAAGACACAATTATAGAAAAAGAGGAAGCTGAGAAAGAGAGAAACTGATCCAGGAACACAAAAGGAGAGTTCAAGAGCTGAGCGATACAATCAAGCAAGCAGAACAATATCCGTATCAAAGGAACTCCAGAAGAGGAAGAGAGAGGGAAAGGTGCTGAAGGAGACCTTAAACAAAATTATAGCAGAGAATTTCCCCGATATGGGGATGGAA